GGGCGCACCTCTGCAAGCAGTGCGTGCACGTCCTGTGTGCTCAACTTCTGCTTCATCGTCGTTGCTGTTTGTTGTTGCTGGAAAAGTAAAATTGACTTGTGGTGGAAGGGAAAAATGACTTTGTGCGGAGGACACAACAACAAGCGCGCTTAGCACATCATTGACAGACTCGCCAACACACACATCGCGGACACACACACACACCAAGTACACTCACGGACGGCAGAGCTCACACCAGCCATTCGTCCACTCGCAACCACCCATTCATACACTGCCTACACTGGCACATTCGAACCAACACATCACCTTGGGTTGCATCGGCAAAGACGCTGGTGCGTTTGCAGTGGACACTGGGTCGCAGTGCGGACAGCAGGACAACACGGGACAGCAAAGGACAGCAAAGTTGAACGCCTGAGGACACAGCAAGCAAGGACCTCAAGGACAAGGATCGCATGTATCAAGGCCTCACACATACGCACTAGAACGCACTCTCTTCACCCGCCGCAGCAGTACCACCGGCAATGTCCTCCTCACAGGAATTGGAAGCTAAGCTGGCGGCAGCACGCTACCTGAACGAACCCGACAAGCAGCAGCTGCGATCTGTGGCCAACAACACGTGTGGACGGCACTTCAAGTCAGTGAGCCAGTGTTGTTTTGCATGTGTTTTGTGAGGTGGGTGTGGGTTTGGAATTGAGGGGAGCACACATAGTTTGCTGTTGATAGGTACGCATGCCTCACTCTGTGACTGCGTCTGGTTGTCGCACAACCATCACATCAACCGCGTACTTGCCACTGTTTGACTTCTACCGCTTGGCAAACGCGCAGACCGTAAGTCATCTTCATGGGTGGCAGTTGAACGAGATTTCCTGGTGCTATCATGGTGTCTCGTTGCGTGAAGAGCTTGCGTCAAGGTGGCGCATGCCACACGGCCTTGCATGATAATCGTGGTGACTTCAGTACAATAGTCACGTCGTTGCGTGTATATGTTGTGTTGTATTCGAAGTTTGTGTACGATGTATGAATGGAACGTCTGTATTTGTGTCTGTGATGCTTGAATGCTTGGGTGTAATCGCATGCGTTTGTGTGTGTTGGCATGATGATGACTCACATGACGGGCACGGCGCGCATTGCTGCACGCATTGCTGCACGCATTGCTGCACGCATTGCTGCACCAACGCACATTGACGCGCGGGGACGTTTGATTTGACGTGTATGTGCTGTACTATGACGACGCAGGCGGTAAGTGGAAGCATTTGAGGCTGGTGTTGAATGGGGTTACATGCATGTTGATTGTTTGTGGTAGTGGTGTTGTAGGAGTAGGAGTAGGGTGGTGGGTATTTGTGCCAGTGGAGGTGTGGTGTGATTGCACCGTCATATGCTCTGTGTGGATGCGCGTGATCAGGTGTGTGCGTGCATTTGTGATGGGTGCGCTTGCATGCTGATGGCTGACATGACGGGCACGGCACGCATTGTTGACATGTGTACTGTGTTATGACGGCGCGCATTGTTGACATGTGTACTGTGTTATGACGACGCAGGATGTAAGTGGAAGCATTTGAGGCTGATGTTGAATGGGGTTACATGCATGTTGATTGTTTGTGGTTGTGGTGTTGTAGGAGTAGGAGTAGGGTGGTGGGTATTTGTGCCAGTGGAGGTGTGGTGTGATTGCACCGTCATATGCTGTGTGTGTGCATGCGCGTGATCAGTTGTGTTGTGTGTCCGGCGTGTTTTGTTGCGTCGTTTAATTTTCTGTCAATACCATCTTCACCAACACTCATTGGTCTACTTTTGCAGCAACGACTACATCGACGCCCTTGCTGTCGCGATCAAGACCAACCAATGCGTGAAGACACTCGAGTTAGTTTGTTTTTGCTTTTCACTCCCAACGTATCGAACAATGTTGTGTTGTGTGACCTCACAACGACCACACTGCACCCATATTCCTTTCCGGCTCAGCTTCACCCGGTTCCCCATGACTGCTGACCGCGCCGCCGCCATCGCCAATGCTCTCGATCCACAGCGCAGCATCGCCGTCAAGTTGTGCGTTCATGTGCTTGATTGCGCCATGTGTGACGAAGCTCTGATTGCTGCTGCTCCAATTGCTGTCCTGTCTCATCACCATTGCATCACGATTGTCCTTTGTCTGCTTCAGCCGAGACCGTGATCAAGACGCCAAACTCGCCTTTGAGAAACGAATTAGCAAGCGCCGTCAGCAGAGCACACCGCAACCTGACCATCATCACAAGCATGACCAGCACGCGCAAGTGGCTGCTCCTCCCAAACCAGGGTCATCGTCGCAGCTCTCGGTGTGTTGTCTTGATATCCATTTGTGCTCAACCTTTCTTTGCGTCCTGCTTTGTCACAATTGCTCACATGCTTCATACTTCCTCTTCCCAGCACCACGCCCAGGCTGAAATTTCTGCACTCAAGAAGAAGCTACAAGAGACCGGTGAGGCCAGTATGTTGCAATGAAGGTGGCTGACAAGTTAACATTTGTTTCGACCGTGTATCACAAGCTGACAATCAAGCTCATCTCTAGCGTGCTTGCCCATGCACATGGAACACAGAGGCTCGACTCGCCACGGTGCGGCAGGACAATGCGGCTGTGAAACAGGAGAACATCGCTCTGCAGCAAGACAAGGATGGCCTTCAGCAGCAACTCTCAAGTGTGCAACAGCAGCTCACCTCCACGACGTCTTCCCTCAACGATGCTGGTGAGTGATTAAACTGCTGCGGATACGCCCGTTTGTGCCTTGAACCCTTGTTTCGTCCCGTGTCTCACGCCATCTCCTTTTGTTTTCTCTGCCGTCAGGTGCTCGCAACGCTGAGCTAGAGCAGCAGGTGGCAGCGCTGAACGAATCACTGGGCGAGACCGAGGACATTGTCAAGCAATTCCGTGGGTTGTGTTTGCGCGCGCGCGTGTGTGCGTATGTGTGCGTGAGAGAGGGTGTGTGTGCGTGAGAGAGAGTGTGTGTGCGTATGTGTGCGTGCGTGTGTGTGTGTATGTGTGTGTGTGTGAAGCATGCAATCGTTCACTCACGCTTCTCTGTTGCGCCTACTCGTCGCCCTTTCATCTTTCGCCCCTGTCCATGCATCTGCATTTGCTTGCCAGAATCGCGCATGGAGAAGTTGACCAAGGAGAACGCCTTCTTGAAGAAGCGCGTGGAGCTCAAGGATGACTGGGAAGACAAGCTCGGTTGGACACTCATGTCTTAGACTTGTCTCAGCTGATTACCTTTGTCCCTCTCTTGCGCTTTCATTCGCCCTCTCACTTGCTCACCCTCACTCACACACACACACACACACACACACACACACACACACACACACACACACACACACACACACACACACACACACACACACACATTGCATATTCACCACATCCCCTTGATTCATTGTATAAGAGAGCGTGTTGAACCTGAACATCCCATCGTCCCGCTTCACCAACAAGATTCCCATCTTCGACATCAACAACAAGCCCGTTGGTGGTTCGTTTGGTTCCCTGTTCAAGGCGGAGCTGGCGGGCCAGCCGGTTGCTCTCAAGCAGATGCTTGTGGCCGAGCGCCCTCGTCTCTCAGAAATCATCGCATGCGTTGCTGGGTCTGAGGACGTTCCAGACCACTTGAAGCAGCTGCGACGCGAGGCGCTCATCCTGCTCTCCCTCCGCCATCCCAACATTGTGCACTTCCTTGGTCTCACTCACGATGAGCAAAGCCACACGCTGGCCTTTGTGCTGAGCTGGGCCGAGAATGGCTCTCTCTATGATGTCTTGCACGTGAAGAAGCAGCCGCTTGACGAGCCAACTTGTCTTCGCGTTGTATTTGAGGTGGCCTGTGCCATGGCGTTCCTGCACGCCCACAACGTCGTGCACCGCGACCTCAAATCGCCCAACGTGCTGCTGGACGCATCGCTCTCCGCGAAGGTGACGGACTTGGCCTGAGCACCTTCAAGTCAGCAGACAAGTCCGTGCTGACACATGGAGGTGGCACACCGCTGTGGGCGTCACCCGAGCAGCTGCTTGGACAGGAGCTTCGTATGGACACGGATGTGTTCTCCTTCGCCGTTCTCCTGTGGGAGCTGTTCCTGAACATCAAGCCATGGCATCACGGCAAATACGCTGCACTGGGTGGCGCGTCATCCATTGTCATTTCTAAGGCGTATGAGGAGGGCCGGTATCTCCCGCTTGACGTTGAGGTTGATGGTCGCAGGCTGAGCCATGCGGTGCAGCAGGTGCTTGGCCAGTGCTTTGACGTCAGCGGCAACCGACCTTCCTTTGTTCAGCTGCAAGGCACGCTGGGTGGGCAGTACACAGCCACCAAAGAACAGCATGCAGTCGATATGGAACAGCAACACGAGCAGCTACATGGTCCTGCCAATGCCGCGTGGAAGTGGCAGCAGGACGTCCTCGAACCACTGCAGTCCTTCACGGTGACTCATCCAACACGCGCGTCAGTGCGCATCGCTACTGTTGGCGCCGCACACGACACGGCCACCGCCATCGTCAAACAGGTGAGATCGTGTGTGCGTGCGTGTGCGTGTGTGTGTGTGTGTGTGTGTGTGTGTGTGTGTGTGTGTGTGTGTGTGTGTGTGTGTGTGTGTGTGTGTGTGTGTGTGTGTGCGTCTGTGCGTGCGTGCGTGCGTATTCGTGTGAAGCAATGGGTTGCTGTGGCTTGCTTATCAGGTCTCTTCGCCACTGCTCTCACATCTCACTGGTATCCTCCTTCCATCTCTACAACCACACGACAGATGATCACGGAAGCTGGCGGCTGCTCCGGTGATGAGGCAACAGCAGCTCCTCTGCAGCCCTTTGGCAAGACCGTTGCTGGTGTCGCTGTTGTGCAGTGCAGCCAGAAGAATGCTGCCTTCAACGGCGCAGTGCACCGCAACCAGACCCGTTATCTTGGCCACACGAGCAGCGCCAACCACCCGTTCCACCCCAAGTACAAGATCGATACGGCAACGGGTGTGCCCACCGATGCTGAGGAGGCTGCTGTCCTTGCTCGCGTCACCCTCCACCCTGCTGGCGCTTCACCGTACAAGGTGCTGGATCAGACCATGATGCAGCCCGATGTGCGTCTTCGCCTGCAGCGCGTGTTCCACGGCGTGCCGTCCTTTGCCGTGGCCATGAGCATCCTGGGTGGCGATTTCGCACAGCTGCAGAAGACTGACAACGGCTGGTACGGTGCTGGCTTCTACTTCACGCCAGACCTCGACTATGCTCTCGAGTACAGCGACGCGTGCCGTGACGTGCCGGCTGAACTGAAGAAGATGAAATTGCCTGCAGGCAAGCAGTTCCGCGTCGTGCTTGTGTGTGACGTGCAGTATGGCAACCCATACCCGGTCCGCGACGCTGCCACCTTCAACGGCAAGCCACTCGTTGGTGCACACGACGCCCATGTTGCCGTGGTCGACTTCAGCACCGGCAGCGTCGTGGATGCCAAGCCCATCAAGTCGTCCCAGTGGGCCAGCAAGCGCACCGCCGCCGAGGTTGTGATCAACGACCCATCATGCGTCCTCGTGCGCGGCATCCTCGTGTTTGAGGCCTGAACGCAGCCGTAGGGGAGCATCACCCACACCCCAGCAGCACCTTCGTTGGTGTGGTACATCCTGCAACTTCCTCCTTCCCTTTCGCTCACCTGTTATCCCATGTTGCGTTCCTGTCTTCGTTCCCTTGCGTGTCATCACAGTCACTGACCTACGCCAACCCCAGCATGCATTTGTGTTACATTACGTGCGTCCCACGCTCTTTTCCATTCACCACTTTCATCCATTCATTGGTTTGCGTTTGTGCGTTGACACTCACGTCCTTGAACGCGTTCTTTACCTGCCCTGCATTTGCCTTCTCCTCTTCCGTTCTTTCGTTCTCCTACACGGCCCTGCCATTTGCTTGCTGTTCCAAGCATTTCCGTTTCCGGCGATCATGAACTCGTTCTTGCGTTCCTACAAGTGCACCCCCGTTCACTTCCACCTCTGCCAGCGCCGTTACGTTCCTTCAACCCTCCACACACGTTGTTCGTGTCCACCACGGACCAGCGCAGTAGTACACCTTCCCCCCACACGTAAACCAGACACCCTTCCTAAATCCATGGTCGTTTACTGTTTCGTTGTTGTCAAACGCAAAGCACACACAGCAAGGAAGGGCATGGGTGCGACGGAGCATGGAAGACAATCATATGTCCGCCAACTCAAACAAACAAACACACACACACACACACAGCACAGCATCACTGCAGCTTGATGCCGAGGTCCTGTGCGTCGCGGCGGCAGGCAGTGACGACGCGACCGCGCACCTCTGGCGTCAGAGTGCCCAGATACGTGTCCAGTTCAGCCTGGCGCCGGCGCACATGGTGCTGCTCAAACTCCCGCAGCGTGCCAAAGTACCCGCCACGCCCGTACTTCTCGCCGCACTGCGCCGCGCACGGGTGGGCGTCGTTGCCGCGGTCTGTCAGGCACCACGCGCAGAAGCCGCACTTGCAGTGGGCGCACGTGAGCGCAAAGCAGCCGTCAAAGTCGACAAAGGCGGCGCTGCAGCGCGGGCACTTTAGGGTGAAGATGTTCTCCACAATGTGTTTGCGTGCGTCCTCGGCATCGCGGTCCATCTGCGACAGGCGAGCGCGCCGGTCCTCCTCTGCCTGGCGCGCGGCCTCCTCCTCCTTGCGCACGTTTCGCCCCGTTATGTCCTTGTTCAGCTTCATCCACGCCTGGAACGTGTCGTCATCCACGTGCATGGCGAGCGTCTTTGCCTTGAAGGGGGTGCTGCTGCAGTCCGGTGTTGGGCAGCACACGTCGGAGCCGCGGGCCATGCGCTCGTCGTGCGTGGCAACAGATGTCACCAGGCTGTCGAAGCACACGTCGCACACGAAGTGATCGCCGGTGGAGCAGCGAACACCGCCCACCACAGGCACATCGTCGTCGAAGCAGATGCAGCACTCGGCCACACCACCCGAGGAGATGCTGTCCATATCCGACGAACGTGATGATGACGATGCGTCACTGCACGCGCGCTGGCGGCGTGCTGGCGAGGCATCTCCGTGATCACCACTGCTGCAAATGTTCTCGCGGAGGGAGGTGAGGAGGGCCTTGACGTTGGGCAAAGCGCGAGCGGCCATGCGGTCGCGGCTGCTGTAGACGATGTTGACGCCGGTGCTGGTGTGGAAGAGGAAGACGCGCGTGTCCTTGGCGAGGAGGAACGCGGCCGACCGCTTGAGCGTGTTGCGGTCCAGGTTCTCAATCTCGTACGCCTCAATCTTGATGTGGTCGTGCACGAACTGCCTGCATTTGGCTGTGGCTTCCTTGAGGGCGGTGGGGTCGGCAGCCACGCTTGGCGCCTGCTTCACGATGATCTTCGTTTCCTTTGGGACCACGCGCACGAGGAAGCCAGAGCCTACGGCAGCCTTGAGAGCCATGCGTCCAATGTAGGAGGCGTACATGGCCTTTGATCGCCCAACAGTGAAGGCATTCTCCTCTTGTGGACGGGCGTGGCGAAAGAAGCATTGGCGTGGGTTCTTGCAGGGCCTGTTGCGGCAAGGCTGTTGTGGAGGTGGTGGTGATTGTTGTTGGAGAAGGGAGGGGCGTGGGGAGCGTGTGCGTGAGCCAAAGGAGTCCATGGTGTGGCAATTGTGAGCAAGAAGGTTGGTCCAGGCACATGGTGACATGCCATGATATGCCATTGAGACGATGCCAGGACATGGATCTTGTACATACCGGTGCTGGATGGATGTGCTTGCAGTCCACGCGCTTGCATTCTGATCCCTTTTTGCAATCCGTGTCAAACTGTATGGAGAGGGAGAAGGAGAGAGTGTGTGCATATGCGTGTGTATGTGAGCTTGAGTGAGAGGATGGTGTGCGCTACACCTTTGCACAGCATACAATAAGACTGACAGAGTAGAAGATGAAGCAACCCAACGCATGTATCATACACAACAAGACACATGCACACACACTCCTTCTGCGAAGCTCACCTCGTCGGTGTGGATGAACCCGCAGGCTGGGCGAGTGCACCGGGACTTGGTTCCAGCCTTGCAGCGAATGCCCTATCATCGGCGATTGAGATGGGAACGAAGGAAGCATTGATTGGGTGAGAAGTATGTCAAAGAACATGAAACGTTGTGTGTGATGATGTGAACACAGTGACATTGCACACCCACATCCACACATCGCCATGCAGCACTCACGTTGTGTCGCATGCTTGTCTATCAAGAACGAAGAAGGTGAAGTGAGAAGCTGCTAGGCTGAAGCTTTCTTCGTCTGCTGTGCTTTCCGCTCTCCGCTGGCGCCGTGTCGTGCACGCTGTTTGTCGTTTGCCTTGTGTTTGAGAGCACTGGTCAGTGGTAGAGTGGTAGTGGTATCAACTGCCTGAACTGCTTGGTCGCTGGCTTGCTTGCTTGGTCGCTGGCTTGCTTGCTTGATGCTTGATCGGGGAATATGTGTCTGGCTTGTGCGGGGAATAAATGAACTCACCACGTCGAATCACAAACACCCCAAGACGTCAGGCAGCCAGAACGTGTGTGTGTCATCAGCCACTGGACTCAGCCACTGGGGCTGTGTAACAGCACGCACAGCTCCAGCGCATTGCTGGCGCTGTGGGGTGGAACTGACACCACCTGCCTTGCTTGCCGTTTTGTGTGTGTCTTCCCAAAAACCGCTGACTCGGCAGTTTCTGTAACGACAGGCGACACCCAGAAAGGTAGTTGTGTTTCGTGGCGACAACAGCAACTACGATGTCAACAGCAGCGGCGGCGTCTGTGAATGGCGGCGGCGATGAGCGCTCGCCACTGATCCAGCCACGCCAGCAACCACAGCGTGAAGCCAACTCCGGCATCCTCGATCCAGAGGTGTGTACCACGTGTGTATGTGTGTGTGCATGTGCATGTGTGTGTGTGTGTGCGTTTGATGCTGAGATCTTTGTCTGAGATGAATTCCGCGAATCATCATGCTCACACACACACACACACAAATACACGCACATACACACACACACACTCACGCACACACACACACACACACACACACACACACACACACACACACACACACTCACGCACACACACTCACGCACACACACACACTCTCTCTCTCACTCTCTCACACATACACACACACTCAACGCTGTAGCTCATCTTTCGGCGCCGCGTGACGCGATCGTGGGCCATTTCTGTGGCGATTGTGGTGTGCGGCATCTGCCTTCTTCTCGCCGCCATCATCCAAGGCGCCTTCACGCCCGTCTCATCCAGGCACAATGTCTCCGACGGCAGCCACCCGTTCACAGTGGTGCGTGTGTAATGACGTTGGTGTGTCGCTGATTGGGATCGCACCGTAATGCACGCAAATCGCACATCTACCTGGCTCACCGTGTTGTCACATCACATCACTGCAACCACCCAACAGCGCGTGGTGTACCTGTACATGTTTGTTGCAGGGCTCGGGGTGATCTCCATCATCTCCGGCACGAACATGATGCGGTCCCTCTCGGACGATTCCCACAGATCGCGCCGCAAGACGGTGCGTTGGGCCGAGGGGTATTTCGGACTTGCTTCCAGCGACCTTCCGATCATGCACATAGAAACACACACTCACTGACTCACTCGTTCACTCACTCACACACACTCACACACACACACACACACACACACACACACACACACACACACACACACACACACACACTGACTTACTCGCACACGCACTCACTCATTCACACACACACATATTCACGCACTCATTCATTCACGCACACGCGTGTACTGATACAAACAGCTCATGTGGGCTGCCATTGACTTTCACGGGACGTCATCGGCCGGGTTGGCGCTGGGCGCCGTGTCCGCCGTCGCTTCTCTCATTGCCATTGTCATCTTCCAAGACTACGACAAAGGCAAAGTGTTTCAGTTCAACATCAATGAGGTGGGCATTCCCAACTGCTCCTGCATTGTTCCTCCCTCGAACGTGATTTTATGTAACATTGTCACCATTTGACAACAGTGTCACCACCTCACTTCCTCCCCTCCCCCAACACACACACACACACACACACACACACACACACACACACACACACACACACACACACACACACACACACACACACACACACACACACACACTTGTGTGCAGACGGTTGGCTGGATGGTGATTGGGTCAATGGTGCTGCTGCTGCTGGGCCTGTTCTCGTCGGCCGAGCTTGACTCGCGTGCGCTGATGGGCCACTTCACATATCGGCACATGGCCAGCACGCGCGCCGCCGCCGTCATTCAGGGCTGCTTTGCCCTGCAGGTCCTCGTTATGGCCATCCCGCTGTGGGTGACCAGCCAACTGCCCAACGTGCTGCTTGTCGCCGGCATTGTCGCCACCATGCTTGCAGGCATTCTGGGGCTCCTCTCCACGGCGTTCATTCTCCGCTTCGTCAACGTCGACCGCTGGCCGCGCCGCGCCTGCTTCCGCACGCTCGAGCACGCGTGGGGGCTCTCCGTCGGCGCGCACTGCATTGGCCTCATCGCCACGGGCCTGCACGTGTACTTCTCCACGCAGGTCGTGTACCAGTGCCTCTCGGATGAGCACCCGCATGAGTTCAGGCCCAACTGCGACGGAAACGCGGGCGTGCTTGGCGGTCTCCTGCCGTACATCTTCAACGTCGTTGCGCTCGTGATGATGGGCATCACCGCCCTCGTCACCACCGTCCGCATGGCCACGCTTGCACACGACGCCGCAATGGGCAAATTCGCAGAAAGCGACGAGCCAGCACACGTCACCGACCTCGCCAGGGACCTCAGGCCGGTGCGTGTCTGTGTGTTTGCGTTTTGTTTGTTTGTTGTGCGTATGCGTCTGCGCATGCGTCTGTGTGTGTTTGCGTTTTGTTTGTTGTGCGTATGCGTCTATGTGTGCGTATGCGTCTGTGTGTGTGTGTGTGTGTGTGCTGCAGCAGTTTCCATGCACGAAGGCTTCGTGCTTGCACACGCCAAGCAGCAGTGTCAAGTTTACCGTTCACGTGCGCTCTTTCCACCATCCCTCATTCTTCCCGTCCTTGTTTCTGTTGAACGACTACCAGTTGGGGTATGGCCGCGTGAGTCAGCGCCTGGCAGAGATGGACACGGACGAGCTCGCCCGCACGTGCGAAGAGGTCATCCCGGGCGCCGCGGCACACATCCAACACGCGCAAATCTCAGGTAAGAAGTGCGTGCGTGTGTGTGTGCGTGCGTGTGTGTGTGTGTGTGTGTGTGTGTGTGTGTGTGTGTGTGTGTGTGTGTGTGTGTGTGTGTGTGTGTGTGTGTGTGTGTGTGTGTGTGTGTGTGTGTGTGTGTGTGTGTGCGTGCCGGGTTGCACTGCGATGCTGTGTTGTTCTGTCATTTGTCTTGTTTGCCTCGCTCGCTGTTGTGTTCAAACGTTGTTGACCCAATTCCAATGTTTGTTTTGTGCTCCGTACCAGGGTTCATGCTTGACCTCATGTTGCGAGGAACGCAGCGGCCGTGGACAGCGTGCGCGGAGACTGTGGCGGTCCTGCAACAGCTTACTGGCAAACCGGACCTCTCGTCCACAGACGCAGCTCGCCTCCTCGCCCACTTTCACGACCAAGCCTGATCCTCCTCTTGCGTAGCGGGCAAGTGTGTTTGTGTGTGTTTCGTGTGCGTTCGTGTGCGTTCGTGTGCGTTTGTGTGTGTGTGTGTGTTTGTGTGCGTTCGTGTGCGTTAATGTTTGTTTTGTTTGCTTGGTTTGCTCGGTTCACTTGTCACTTCAGTGTTCTTGCTGTCGATAGTTCATACTGCTCGCTTCCACTGTCGCTGTCGCTTCCGCGTTACAAATCGGTGTTGTTGAGGATGAGTGATGTGATAGCACGGGAAAGCAACCCCTTGTTGCCAATAGATTGTTGCGTGTTCCAGTCGGTTTTTGTGTGTGTGTGCGTGTGTGTGCATTGTGATGCGCTCTGCCGGGCAATTATCCAGTCTCTTCTTATCGCGAATCGTCGATTGATGAATTTGATGGGTTCACACAACCTTCATGAGGACAACAAACAAACAAGTGATCACAACCTGGCCAAAAAGGGCCACCTCCTATGTACAACGCGCGCACACGCACAGCAGGTCAACAAACAAAGCAACACGAAACAGTCACAAGATGCATAAGCACCAGCTTCGCTATCAGAGCAAGGTCACGCACACGCCACGCAGCGTCCAGCTGCTGTTGAGCTCCACATCTTCGGTGGGGATGGACACCGTGAACATCTGCGCAACGAAATGGGATGGAGAAGTGGCGTGGTGGTGATGGTGGTGGTGATGGTGATGGTGAGCGAAAACTGGCATGTGGTCATTGAAAGGAAGGCAGGCAACACACAGACATGTATATACACACACAGACACAGACAGACACAGACACACACAGACACACATGTATACAGACCGGGGTGAGCTCGCCGCCCTCTGGCTCGTCGAGGAGATGGTACACGGGGCAGCGGAAGACGCCTTTCCGCTTCGTGTCCGCGTCGTTGCGCGCGGGCCGCAGTTTGTTGCCTTTGTCCTCCTGTGACCGGCTCTGGTGGGCAGGTAGCAACCATCGGGGTAATGGTGATGGTGGTGCAGAGGTGATGGGGTGAGCATTGAGTGAGCATTGAGTGAGCGCACGAGGAAGCATCTCGGGCTGGAAGAACACAGACATGCGAGTGACGAGCGTGATCAAACACCACCACCAACGGAAGCAAGCGCACAAATCCGCCACTACCATTCGCAACCACTCACATCCTGCTTTGGCGGTGCGTAGAAGACGTGCAAGACGGGTAAGGGGCTTCGCTGGAACTTGGCGCTGTCCTTCGCCTCGCCACTGTCCCAACCGCAGCCCTGGAGCGCAGCGCCGTGGATGAGGAATCCGTCGCCGGGAGGTTCACGAAGATGCTCTCGCTCCCTACCATTGTGATCAAGATAGTTGAACGTGTGAACATGCGAGCTCGCGGCGGGAAAGAATTAACGCCAGGAACGGCAGCCACAACACAACACAACACAACACAACACAAAGGCCAACACAAAGGCCCAACACAACAGCACAGACACGACGCAACACAATCGCGACGCACCTGTTGCTGACTTCTGCGCAAAAAGCCGCGTCATCACCAAATGTGGAAATGCCCTGAATGCGCAGCGCCGTGAAAAACGCCTTTGGTGACGGGAAGCTGCCAAGGCCTGGTGATGGGATGGCATGTTTGCAGTTGTTGTTGTAGTAGTAACGACGTTTAGTGAGGCGTTGTTCTCGACACACAGACACACGCAGACACAAACACAAACACAAACACAAACAGACAGACAGACAAACACACAGACACAGACACACACACAACACACACACACACACACGCAGACACAAACGCAGACACGCACACTGTCCTTACCGATGGAGAGAGCGCGGGAGCCCGAGTACGCTGCCCGCTCAACGTCACGCGCGCGCGAGGTGACAAAGTCCAGCCACGTCTGCAGCTGGGAGTTGTTGAGGGGCATGGTCGTTGGCAACGGCAGGAGTCGCAGCCACGTGTCGGGCACCTGCCCCTCGTTGATGGTGGCGAGTTCGGATGCATACACGGGATTGGGGCGGCCCCATCCCTGGCAAAAGTCATCAAGCTCAAGCAAGCGCGACAGAACGACGCCAAACAGCTGGCGAAGCTCCTCCGTCTGATCAGTCAGGAACCTGTTGAGGGAGGAGGGAATCGGGAGAGTGGTGTTAGCAAAGGGAAAGAAGAAGGCGAGTGGAGCAACAGCACTGACTGACGTATGAAACACGCGCGAGAGAATGCACTCGTGGGGACGACACACCAACATAGCACAATATCGTCAGCAAAGTTCGACCCTCCACACTGAGCAGCCACGCCTCCTCCACCACACGCCAATCTTCGCTTCTTTTGCCAAACGCACCGAGCAATGCCGTGTGGAGTGCCGCTGCCCTCGAGCTTCTTGGCGATGCGGCTGGCGGACGGCAGGATGGGCAGCGCGTGCATGATTCGATGCAGCACCTCTGGCCGGTACGGCGGACACGTGTGCCCAAACTCCTCAGACGCCCACAGCGGTGTCCGCTTCAGCCGCGACGAGTGGCGAACCGTCGACCGCCGCTTGGACCTGAGGGCGCGCAGTGCAGAGAAGTGCAGCGGGGGTGGGATGTGTGTGTGTGTGTGTGTGCGTGTGTGTGTGTGTGTGTGAGTGAGTGCGTGTGTGTGGGAGCATGTTGAGTGTGTGTGTGTTGTGTTGTGTGTGTGTGTGTGTGCGAGTGTGGGTTACACAATAGCCGTCCTCAACAACAACAACAACAACAACAACAACAACAACAACAACAACAACAACAACAACAACAACAACAACAACAACAACAACAACAACAACAACAACAACAACTTAAACAACAACTTAAACAACAACAACAGCAGCAGCGACCCCAGCAGCCACGACAGCAGCGGAGCATGTCCATGCCCGACCTCGGCGACGTTGGGGAGAAGATTGGCGGTTTCTCTGGCGGCGACGCTTCGAGGATGTTCGAGTGCGCTCCCATCACGTCCAGCCGTCCAACCAGCCGGCGCATGATCTGCAGCACAGAGCTGTTGCAGGCGAGATGGGGTGTTGTTGTTGTTGTTGTTGTTGTTGTTGTTGTTGTTGTTGTTGTTGTTGTTGTTGTTGTTGTTGTTGTTGTTGTTGTTGTTGTTGTTGTTGTGGAGACGTTAACATGGCCGAATTGTACCAAGAAGAAATGGAAACGAACCGATAAGCACACAAATTTGCACTCTCGCACTCATGTACACACAAACAAAACAAACAAACAAAGCAAACAAACAAGCAAACAAACAAAGCAAACAAACAAGCAAACAAACAAACAAACAAACAAACAAACAAACAAACAAACAAACAAACAAACAAACAAACAAACAAACAAAGCAAACACAGAGCGAGGCGTACTTGTTAAGGGCGGTGCTTGGCAGCTCGATGGCAAGGCCGGGCACGTGGCAGATGATGGGGAGGAGCGAATCGTCCAGGGCGGTGGACTTGCTCACGTTCTCCGCCAGGTCCACCATGAGCGTGCTGCGGGTGCGGCGCTGCGATGGCATCGGCACGCGGTACGGTTTCAGCGTCTCGCTGCTCATGTGCACGGGTATCTGTCGAAGGGGAAACAAGTGAGAGAGAAAAAAAAGTGGGCGGGCGAGAAAGCATGGGTGCGTTCGTTGCATACAACACAAATGAACAAATTGACGGTTGACGCGTATGTGCGCGCGAGAGTGTGTATACGCTTGGGCAGCGCAGTGACACTCGCGCCTTAGAGAGGCAGGCAATCGTCCAACGACAAAACAAAAGCAGGAATGTCGAACCGTGGTGAGGTGGAAGTCGGGCTTGATTGCGCTGGATGTGATGTACGTCGACATGAGCGTCAAGAGGATGCGCTTGTCCCGCGTACTCGACATCTGGCTGCCGTACACCAGCTCAACATAGTGCCTGCAAGCAAATGGCACGTTGTAGATGTTAGAATGCGGCAGCAACAAAGGCACAACCTCAAAGTGGATAGACAAACGCACGCCCGTTCACCCACACTCACGCACATACACACGCTCACACACCCACACCCACATACACCCACACCCACCACACACACACGCTCACACACCCACACCCACATACACCCACCCACACCCACACCCACACACACACACACACACACACACACACACACACACACACACACACACACACACACACACACACACACACACACACACACACACACACACACACACACACACCCTTGGCACATACTTGATGGCTGTGAGGCGGTGGGAGGATGACGTGTCGAGGAATTGCCGGCCCGCAAACTCCATCACATCCGCCAGCACGCTGTCGGGCCAGTTGTAGCGGTGCGACCACGCAGGAAGACCTGCAAGAAGAAACAGCAAGGCACGTGTATGTGTGCGTGTGTGGAATGAGGGTGCAGCAACCATGCGCAACGTTGTTGAGTCGAAGAAACGCCAAATAAAACATATGGCAGTGCACAAGCGCCGAGCGAACACTTGCAGTCGACAGGCACTTCGTTGAGCAGATGGGAGAATGAATGGTATGCGTACCAAAGTGCGTTCTGAAGTTCATGACGCAGTGGAAGAATGCAAGGTTGTGTAGCAGGTATGGCCAGTCGCTGCGCGTACTGCACAGCACAATGTCCGACGGAATCTGTTGTTGACAAGAGCAGAGATGTTGTGGGTGAGGAAGACACAACCTTGGGCAGAGTTCACGTCGCAGGTCGCTGCCACACATACAAATGCGCACAAGCAAACACACGCGCATGCAGAGGCATGCGCATGAGCACAATCGCAGGTACATGCGTGAGTGCGCACACCTGGGCGAGTAAGGTGGCGAGCTTGTTGCGGAAGGACGAGACGTTGCACACGCACAAGCGAGCACTCTTGGTGATGATGTGCTGTGGACAGAACTTGCGGTTGTTGTACATGCACACAAGGCGGAACTTTTGGTGCACTGTTGGTGGTGGTGGTGTTGGTAGTGGGATGGGGGATGAAGAGGAGGGGTGGGGTGAGAAGAAGGTGAGAAATGGGCAGTTTGCTTCCTGGACTTAACGGTCACACACACACACACACACACACACACACACACACACACACACACACACACACACACACACACACACACACACACACACATCACACGCACATACACACACACACACACCCCACACACATTCACGTACCTTCGCGGTCGTTGGCATAGATGTTGTCGTGGACGAGTTTGCTTGCCAGGGCCGGGTTGGCCTCGATGTTGACAAGCACGAGCCAGCTGCCACTCTCTTGTGCCATCTGCAGGTCAAGTTGAAGCACACAGCACACACGATGTGTTAACACAAGCAGGCCGGCGGGCGCGCATTGGCCACAACAAAAAGGCAAGGGGACTCGAAAGACTCGGGACAAACAGAAAAGCGCCAGAATTCCCAACCACACATCAGCGTGCGTGGCAAAATGATCGATTGCTCCGTCACGTGAACAAAACCATCAAAACTGACCTCCACGTAGGACTCAAGCTCGTGCGCATCCTGTCGCTCGTGAACCATGACAACCGTGCAGTCCAGGCGCTCCCTGTGTTGAATGAGGCCACAAACAACGAAGCAGCGCGTTATTGTGGTCCGGCACATCGGCAAAGTATTATCAAGTTCCCCCAAACATGCACACACACCGATAGACACTCGAACACCCACACACCCTCACACACACACCCACACACACACGCACACCTACACCTATACACACACACACACACTCGCACAGCCGTACGCACCTGTCGCAGAAGCGCCTGACTTCGCCCGTGAGGAACATCTGTCCGGCTGCGTCCTCAAACGCAACGAGTGCGGGCTGGGCGTTGGATCCGTCCGCCACTTCCGTCCAGAACTGGGAGCGCTGGTAGAAGGGCGACATGCTCGCGTCCAGCGTCGACGACAACCACATGCGCGATGCAGCAAGCAGCCTGGGGGCGAGGTGAAGGCAAAAGTGGAGGGAAATGCAGTCGTGAGAGGGGAGAGAGGGGGCAGCGATTGAGACGATGCACGGCAACCAACACAAATGTATTCACTTCGAAACCCCCACAAGCGCAAACACACACACACACACACATACACACACAGACACAGCCAAGCCGACCTGTCGTTTCTGAGGGCGGTGGTGACGAGGAAATGGTCGCGGTGGGCGGCAGAGCAGGATGCAGGGAAGGTCGGGGCTGCCTCGGGACAGTTCAGCTCACGCCACTGCGACCAGTCGCTGCGGTGGCGTGCAATCGCCTCCCCGTAGTTCAGCAGCACCTTCAGCCACGGCGTGCTGTCAAGCTGTATCACGTGGGCAACCGTGCATGCGTGTAGGCGTGAGCATGATGGGTGTGGTGGTTGTGAGTGACAAAACATTGGGGACAGCGGATAGGAGCAGGAAGCACAGCAGTGAAGTGCACACAATCATCCCTTTACATCCACTCTTCCCATCCTGCATGCGATGACTCACGCGTTCAAAGAGCGCCTGCAGCTTCGCCTCAATCTGAATTCCTCTTGCCCGCACGTCAGCTGTTTGAAGGACAACCAGAACATGAAAACAAGTGAGCGTACATCGTGCATTTTCGCGCAGGTATTAAACGGCTCGCAGTCAAAACGCATGTTCAAGACCGTGTATGCATGCACGTTATGTGCATCTCGCCAAACCATGCATGCTCACGGGCTACACAAACAGAGCACGCGTGCACATCACCAGCAGGACGCACCGAGCGGCATTGCACCGGAAGCGCGGTCCACAGCGATGCCGGCGTCCATCTGCGCCCAGTCGTCAAAGGAGACGGTGGAGGGGCGGTGGAACCACTGGTACAGCGAGCGCGCGGGGAGCGCAGACTCAGACTCCACGCCCAGCGACGCGTCCACCTGCATGATGATGATCAGCTGCAGCAGCTCTCTGTTTGCGCGGATGAGGGTGAGGATCGTTGTTGGTGGGAAATTTGGGGGATGGTGAGCGACAGTGGAATGGGGTCAGGTGCACAAGAGGATGTGATGGAGAAGAAAGCCTATTCGTCCACACAGCACACACACGGGCGAAGCAAAGCACGAGCACGCAATCGAGTCGACCTCCCCCCCCCCCCACACACACACACACACAAAGGCACCCACCTGCCGAGCTCGGAGATTTCCTTGCCGAGGATGGTGTGGACGGCGTCGATGAAGGAGGTGCAGAGCGCTGTCATGGAGAAGTTCGGCGACGCAAACGCAGCGGAGATGGTGTGATCAAACACATCCTCAATCTTGTCAAACACGAGCGTGGACCGCTCAAAGGCCATGAGCAGGCCAATGCCCTCCGTCAACCGAGACAGCACGCACGCAGCCTGTCAGAGAGAGAGAGAGAGAGAATGGTGATTGGAGGGGCCGTGATTTGTGGGCAGAGCAACGGGAAATTGGAGAGGAAGGGAAATCGTTCTTCCAACGCAAAACAAGCGCGTACACACACACAGACACACACACACAGACACACACACGGACACACACACACACACACACACACACACACACACACACACACACACACACATGCACACACACAAACATACACACACGGATACGGACCTCTTCGCAGTGGCGGAATTCACCCCGGATGGTGTTGAGGTCGCGGGCGGTCTGGAGACTGCGCTCCGTCACGGCATCAAGCGCATTGTGCGTCTTCAGGATCTCGTCAGCCCTGTGGACGAGTACACGAAGATGATTGGTTGCACACGCATGAATGACACTCGTGTGAGAGGCGAGCAACAACAACTTAAACAACAACAACAACAACAACTTAAACAACAACAACTTAAACAACTTAAAACAACTTAAACAACAACACCAACAAACCACGAAAGATCGTCGTGGGACGGTTTGCCGTCGGCATCGAGTTCATCCGATCGTTCCAGCAGCTGCAGCAGTTTCGACTCAAGCTGCTTCATCTCCCTGAAAAACCAAACCCACAATGCAACAGAAGAAGACGCACGACGCGCATGCATGGGATGAATGCAAGTGTGTGGGCGAGTGTGTGTGTGGACGCAAGTGTGTGCGTGTGTGTGTTTGTCCAGGATCGCAACGCACAAACACATCATTGTAAACAGGGGTCAACCACGGCAGACGCTCAAGCCTCAGTTCCCTTTGGATCCCCCGTTGCCACAAGCAGGTCCATGTGCGTCGTATCGGGGGATGCATGATACTTACACAACTTCGGCGCGCAGGGTTTCTTGTGTGCGCTGCAGTGTTGAGTAGAGACTCGGCTGCTTGAAGCTCACCGTCTTCGCATACACGCACGTCTCATGCTCCCTGCAAGCGATGCCATGAACGCGCGCGTTAAGAGCAGAGTGAGCGGGAAGAAAGAAAGAAAATGTTACAGAGCGTGCCAGCACACACGCACGAGCCCGTCACACCCCCACACACCCACACCCACAACCCCCCGTTCACACACCCCCACACGGCAGCGTACATGACGGAAGGGCAGAAGGAGACGGGCATGAGGTCCATGATGAGATCCGAGGGCACGACGAGCGGCTGCCTGCTGGTGAAGATGAGGCGGAAGCGCGGATGCCACTCAACGGGAGACCCGTCGATGTACACCGCTTCATGGCCCTGGAACAGACGGCAGCACATAGGGGGTGATGACAGCACACAATTTGCACACAACCAGCCAGCGTGAGAGGAAGTTGTCGGTCGGCGGTTCTTTTGCAAAGGCAAGACACGGAACACAAAACACAAGATCACATTCCACACAGACACACACACACACAGACACACTCACACACACAAACACTCACACTCACACTCTCACACACAGACAGACACTCACACACAGACAGACACACAACACACACTCTCACTCACTCACACACAGACAGACACACCTGTGATGTCTTGTTGCGGCGGCGGCGCAGGAGCGGGAAGAAGCGCGAATCCGTCCAGAACTGATCGTCAACATCCTCCAGCACCAGCACCAGACCCTGCGCAACAGCCGTCTTCACCACGTCTGTCACATTCGGGTGGTAGCAGCTTGCAGACACAACCCGCGCCTGCGGCAGGCGAATGAGCGGGGAGACGCGGTGCTTGTCGTTGCGTACAGCCGAGCCCTCATGATGAAGCGATGTCCGCGCAGGCCCTGCACCTGCTGCTGCTGACGATGATGATGCGTGGCCGCCCTGCCCAGTGCCACCACGGGCTTTGGCGGCCGTTGTCGCAGCACCTGCTGCTGCTGCTGCTGCTGCTGTTGTTACAGCTGTTGAGCCACTACGCGGTGCGGCCTTGCCAGCGCCAGCGGCTCCTTTGCCGCCATCACCGGCCCCTGGTGCTGTAGCGTGGAGCTCGCCAACAATCCACGCGCCAACGAGACCGCACGGGTCATACACAACGGGCCAGTACGTGGTCCAGCCCACGCTGAGGGCGAGGCGAATCAGCGTCTTGCCGTCTGCGGGCGCCTGCAGCTTGCTGGTCAACTCCTCCTCCAGCTCTTTCGGGTGCATGGTGTGGTCGAGGCCGAGGAACGCCGCAAGATCGCAGTTCTCAAATACCTTTGGCAGCATGCGGCAGTGCGGGGACTTGCTTCCCCCCTTGGCGCTGCTCTCAACGTCATCCTCCGGTGATGATGAGCGCATGATACGCGAGAGGCGCGGCAGTCGCTTCACGGGTGGGCTCTTCGGCACCGCGGGCGGCGTGTTTGAGTTGAAGCTCTGTGCGCGGCTGAACCTCCGTGGCCGTGGCCCCGCCTGGCTCGTCGCCGCTGTCGTGGACGCACGCGGGTCGAGGTCGTTGTTCGCCGTCAGCTTACGGCGCAGGTGCGGCGAGCGGCGGCGCCCGGATTTCGTGACGGGCGGCACGGGCGCGCGAGACTTGCGATCATCTGCGATAAAGGCCACAGTCTCCTCAAGCAGCGCCTTTCGCACGGCCTCCTGCTGCCCGTAGGTGAGGTTGCCTGCAAACGCCGCAAACGCTGCAGAGACAATGGAGTTGCGCACGCAGTTCCACCCGCCGTTCTTCAGCGTCTCAAGCTCGCCCGTCCACCTGCACGTGCACAAGCGAGAGGTGAGAAGATGAGTGGATGCGTGCGTTAGTGGGAGTCGGGGGCGGGGGCGTTGGGCAAGTGAGCCAGAGCGGTAAAGAGAATGTTCAAGTCGGAGTGAGTGTGACATGTTAAAGGCACAATGCAGCATGCATCGCGTGGGTTGCACTGACTTTGGGAGATGTGAGGTGAAGCTCTTGCGGCGCTTGCTGGCGGCCTGCAGCCGCTGCTGAAGCACCTTGGCCGTTTCCTCGCACCGCTGCTTCTGCAGCACTGCGCACGCATAGCAGACAAAATACGCGTGAGTTCACACGTCCGGCATGCACGCATGTGTACTGCATGCTTGGTATGGGAGACGAGGAAACTCAAAACGGATGGATGGACGGAAGAAAAGGAGCGGCCAATCGTCAAAACAGTAACACACACACACACAAACATGATGATACATGACAACGAACTGACCCAGCTCGTCGTATGCGCGCTGCAGCTGTGCAATATTCTCCGAGCTGATGATGACATCCAGCCCCGTCGTGTCCACGGCGTCCTTGGGCCGCTTGCGCTTCGTGCTGCTGCTGAGATCCTGACCGGCAGTCGCGGGTGCCTCGGCAGGGGATGGGTTCTCTTGCTCCTCTTCCTCCTCGGCATTTTGGTCCTCGGTGATGGCAATGAGGCCGCCCGGCGTCGTTTCAGAAGGAACAGCAATGTGCTTCTGCCCCGAGCCAGCATGGGTCACAACAATCGACCCGCTGATGTACCTGAGTTGACAGAAAACCAAGATAGGGAAAGATGAGATGACTTGAGCAATAGGAAGCATCCACTGCTGTGCGAATGATGCAAGTGCATGCACACACACACACACACAGCCCGTTCCGCGTGCTTACTTCTGCTGCCCGGAGGTCATGCAACGGACGCGGTGGTACTCCATCAGGTGCAGCATCCACTCCAACAGCACGTGCGCGTCCTTGGATGCGCGCTTGACCGACGCCGGCGTGAGGTTTGGCAGCTGCAGGAACACGTCGAGCAGCTCCACCGTCTCGTGGTCCAGCATGTCCGGGTTGAACTGCTGCAACTTTGCAAGGATGCTCGGACTTTGCATGTGCGCCTGAAAGGCAGAAGGCAGAGGGCAGAGGATGAAGACGGAGCAGAAGGACAAGGATGAGGGGGAGAAGGAGGGCATTATTTGATTGTGAGTGTGAGAGGTTACATTACTTCTGTGTTTGAAACACGCGAAACATGATGCAAACGTACACGTACATCACAAACAAAGCTGAAGTGCAACAACCAACACCACTGGCATCACCACAGCCAGGCCCACCGTTGTCGTTTCCCAGTTGTCTGCAAAGAGGGAGGTGCCGCGCCGCCGGGATGTGTCGTTGTCGAGCGGCTGCTTCAACACCACCATGATCATGTCGGCCACCAGCTTCACCAGCTGCGGTGGGTTCGTCAGCGATCGAAGGTTGTCCAGCCGCTTCAGCGTCAGCTTCGACTGCCACATCTCCACATCGTCGAGTGCAGCCAGCACGCGCTGTTCACGCATCGTCTCGTTTGTGCTCACTTTCGACGACGCCACTGTCGCGTTGTGCGAAAGTGAGTGAATGAGTGAGGGTGTGTGTGTGTGTGTATGAGTGTATGTGTGTGTGTATGTGCGTGTATGTGTGTCGTTGTACATGCATTAATGCCAGAAGCGAATGCCCCAGGCTGCTTACACTCACAAGCACAATAAGCCAAAGCAGTATCCCAAACACACACACACATGCACACGCCATGCCATGTACCCCACTTCCACCTCGTCCAGTGCAAGAGCATGACTCACTGCGCCTGCGTTCCCGCTTCTTCTGGTTGACAAAGTTGGTGAGCAGCTCCTCGTCATCGTCGCTCTCAAGGCCCTCGTCTGTCATCTGCGAGATCTCGCCCGCCGCCGCGTCAGAGAGGGCAACCAGCGCCTCCTGCACCTTTTGGTCGAGCGTGCGAATGCGCTCTGCGTTCTCTGCTGCGCTCTTGCGGATGCTGCGGATGTACTCGTCTGTCGCCGCACAGTTGGCCAGCACGCGCTCGAGCCGCCGCTGTTGTCGGAGGAAGCGAGACAAGGAAGGGGAAGGCATGGAAGCGAATGGGGGAGGGGCAGGGAAAGGAAGGGGAGAAAGAGCTGAGCATAGTTCGAGAGATTCGCAAGGAAGGGGGCAAAACAAGGTTGCACACACCCTCACACACACACACACACAAACCTCACACACACACACACACGCACACACGCACACACACACACACACACGCACCTGTTCCTCGCGCTGCTGACGGCGCTTCTCTGTGAAGATCACGCAGAAGAAGTTGACCATCTTGTGCAGCACAGCAAAGAGATCCAGCCTGGAGCTGTCACCCAACTTGTTGCTCTCGTCCACACTCTGTGATAGCTCTGCGAGCGGTGCAATGTCGAGGTGCTGCAGCCGGTCATGGATCTGATAGCGGAACATGACACAAGACGGGTGTTGTGGGCATGAGACACGTGAATCGTGTTACAGGGAAGCTGAGGGAATACACACATTGGAACACAAGCATATTTGTACACACACACACACACAAACACACACACACAAACAAACAAATACACACACACACACAAACAAACAAACACACACACACACACACAACCAAACAAACAAACAAATACACACACACACACAAACAAACAAACACACACACACACAACCAAAACCGTGCTCACCCTGGTGATCCCGGTGACGATGCGCATGACATCGGCGCAGGAGAAGGAGCGGAGCATGGGCTTTGCAAACAGCGCGGCAGTGGTGATGTTGGAAGCCATGCGCGGGGTCATGGGCAGCGAGTGGTACACGTAGCATCGCCGCAAAATGTTGGGGAAGGAGCCGGAGAGCAGCTTGAGGCGGTGGCCGACGTTCTGGAAGCGGAAAATGAGATGCACGTTGTGCTGCAGGCGCTGGTGGAAGAACTGCGCGGGTGACTGGCCGGGCGACGCGCGCTTGGCGGCGTCAGCAACAACGCCGTCGTACAGCGCCGCCTCCTCCTCAGCGGCAAACAGGTTGAAGATGGACCCTGTCAAAATGAAGCTGCTGATGTGGTCCATCACCTCTGGCACCATGTGCTCGCCCTCAAGCACGCAGCACACAGGCTGGTTCTTGGAGCCCGCAAGCCGGTACACCGCACGCATGTCGTTGTGGAAGGTGCGCAGGTTGTGGCTGTGCAGCGGCATCAGGCGGTAGTTCACAAGGCGCGTGGCAACGTTCAGCGCATCTGTCAGGCCGCCGCCCGTGGGCACCACGAAGATGCCGTGCGAGTGCGTCATGTTCAGCACGCGCGCCAGGGCGGCAACCAGGTTGAGTGTCTCCTTGTGCAGGTGGCTGAGGTCAACCCGCTGCCGGTGGTGCCGCTTCTCTTCCAGCAGCACGCTCAGCACGCTCGCCCTGAACGAGGGGAAGGCGAGCGGCGTCACGGGCACGGGCTCGTGAAAGTCCGGCACGGTGGAGTTGCGCTGCTGCGTGCGCTGCAGCTTGTTGCCGGCCGTGTTGGTGATCTTGCTGCGGGGCATGAACACGGCGCTGCCAAAGTCTGCAAACCACGTTGGCCATGCAGCGGGCGCATCCGCACCACCAACACCGCCGCTGCCACCGTGTGCCGTCGCAAAGCCTTGCTGCACCATGGCCAGCATGGCTGCTTCCTCCTCCTCCGTCTCAGCATCGTGCTCGCCCACCACCTGCAGACCAGGCAGTCCACTCGTGCGCCCCGTGGCTGCAAGACTGCCCTCGTCCTCGCGTGGCTCCATCTCCGCCGCCGCCACGTCCATCAGGCGAACAATTGCAGACTGGTCAATCGTGGCGTTGGCGCGTGCAAGCGGAGCAACCTCCTCCTTGAGCTCCTTCGAAGCCACGCGCCCCTCGCACATGCTGCACACGTCGTCCACAAACCGGTCAAGCGGCACCGTTGCCACAGACAGGTGCGCTGACGGCGGTACAAGGCGCGCAAACACGTCCTGCAGGCACATGCCGTGCAGCTCAAGTGCCTTGCTTGCCCGCACCATGCACGGCAGCGTGTCGTCCCACGTGTTGGCAGTATCTGTCGACAGCAGCAGCGGCTGGTGGTTGGCCGGTACAGGCGCCAGGCTTTCTTCGCGCTGCCGCAGCAGCGTGTTCAGTCGCTCGCGCAGCATGTCACGGTGTTCCTCACACACCATGCGGTCCCCAAACACACGCAGGCACTCGCTCACCCAGAACGCACACAGGACGTGCGTGCTGTGTTCGCTGGGCGGGCACCGGCGCAGCCCACGCATCACCGTCACGGCGTCGCGCAGGTTGAACACGTAGTGGTACAGCTCCGGCTTTGTCGGCTTGAGCACCTTGTTGAGGTCCGTCAGCAGCTCGTGCGTCGCCTCTGCCAGCATTTCCATTGTCATCATGTTTTGGAAATACTCCTGGTCGCCCTTGCTCCAGCCAGTGCCGCCATCGTCGTCGTTGTTGTTGCCGGTTGCCTCGCCGTTCTCGTCCTCAACGCGCACCTCCACGTCCTGCCCGCCGCTGAACTGCTCGGCCAGCGGGGCGGCGGTGAGGATGGCGATGCTGCTGGGTTGACTTGGCGGCGGCACATAGAACACGGCCATGTGCCGGCCGAGGCGGGACAGCGTTGTCTTGCGTGCGTACTGCGGCTGGCACGTGGCTATGACAGAGAGGTCTGTGATCCAGCACGCCTCACGACGCATGCGAGCCGTCTCCGATGACGCCGGTGAGTCGACGGCACCGCCAGATGACGACGCGTGTGGGTACCACGAGCCTTCCTCCAACAGCAGCCGAAGCACCTCGTGCGCGTGCATGGTGCTGTCGCCTGTGCGGGATGCGCCCTCTTGCTCAGCAGCGGTGGCGATGGCTGGCGGGTGCGAGGACGTGCACGCGTCAATGTCGTCCACCAACAGCAGCAGGGGCTTCCCGCCCTCTGCGCCGTACACGTGGCCTGTTCGTCGCGAGGTGAAGCGCGACATGTACTCCTGCACCGTGCACGCGTCCGTCTGCCCAGACACGGGCATGTTGCGGACGACAGACAAGTGGCGCTGTCGATGTAGCATCTGTTTGTAGGGACGGGGTGGGTTCGCGGGAGAGGGGTATGAGAGACGGGTGTGACTGGAAAAAAAAAGGGGGGGGTTGGGTGCTTGCAGGTGCGGTGTGGTCTGAAGCAGGGGACCAACTAGAAAGCGAGTGCAAGGTACCACAAGAATGCCACAAGTTGCCACAAGAATGCCACACACACACACACACACACACACACACACACACACACACACACACAGAGGGGGGCACACGGCACGCCAACAGCACCTGCTGCAGGAGGGCGCTGCGACCGACACCGCTGTGGCCGACAATGATGGCGTTCGCATCTGTGCCACTCTGTGTCAGCGAGTCGAGCAGGAACGTTGCACACGTCATCTCCTTGGTGAACACAAACGGCTGCTCGGCATCGCCGCCAGTCAAGTTTGCAGCATCTTGCTCCATTTCTGACAAAAGATATTCAAGAAGGTCATGGTGGCATGATGAGTGCATGACGTGTAGCTGGGCAAGTTGGTGTGTGTTCGTCAAAAGAGAAAAGACAAAACAATGGGTGAGAGGGTCAACAGAGAGCCGCAAACACCCACACCCACACACATGAATAACACACAGGCGCAACCACTCAAACACACCTTCAGCAAAGTCTTCCCATGTCTCCCAGTCGGCGCTTGGCGAGAGGCAGTAGTCGAACATGGTGAGCTCGTCGTTGTCGTTTGGGATCAGCGAACTCAGCTTGCCCAGCTCCGTGTGGAACAGCTTGCGGCCTTGAATCTCAAGCGTTCCGCCTGATCACCGCAGTCAAGTGCGGGTGCGCGTGTGCGAGTGTGAGTGAGTGCATGCGTTGACCACGACAGCGAAGATGAAGCCAGTTCAAGGTCAATGTTGGGTTCACACATGAATGAACCGTGAAGACCACCCAATACCGAAGCACAAGGGAACGTACAAACACGCACAAACAAACAAACACACACACAAACAAACAAACAAACAAACAAACAAACAAACAAACAAACACATAAACACAAGCACTCACCAAGGCCCCATGTGATGGCAAAGAGGAACGCGCATTCAACGTGGATCGGCGGGAGAATGATGGCCGCGTTGACAGAGTCTGACAAGAGGGCGCTGAGCAGGTCGAGCGTTGTCCTGACACGACAAGTCATTGACACCTGCATCACGTGGTCCTCAATAGTCGACACCACCTCCAGCATCGTGCCCATGTATCGATCAAACAGCGGCTGCAGCAGCTCGGCCTCTGGGGTGCGCCGCGTCGACAGCCAGGGCTTCACCAGCGCCCGCCACGACATGCACGGCGCCGTGAGGAACGCGGCAGATGACGCCGGCGCAAACAACGACGCCTGGTCGCTCTGCTCCGGCGTGAGCTCAAACACAAACTTGATGTTGCTTGGCACGCGGATCTTGTCGCCGTTGCCACAGGGGAAGTAGCTGTTTGGGGAGTTGCCGAGGCAGCGGCGCAGGAAATGTGCCCACGCGTTGTCGCATGGCCCGTCAAACACAATCCAGTGAATCGTGTGTTTCCCAGACTCCGAGGCGGCCTTGAATGCGTGAAGTGCGGACAAATGAAAAAGGGAGACACGTGTTGCAAGTGTGAGTGTGTTTGCGGCGTTGCGGAGATGGGAAACCTGTGCTTTCGCTCCTGTGTTGCACTCGAGTCGTGCTGCACACACACACGCGCGCGCACACACGCAACGTGCACAGACACAGACACGCACACACACACGCGGCGCAAAAACAGTCGCACAGCAGCAACGCTCCTCACACACACACATGCACAAAACACGCTGACGCACCTGCCGAAGAAGCATGGGGACAATGCCGTCGACCCATTCGTCCTTGGATGGCGCGAATCCGAACAGCTGCTTGGTGCCAATGGCGGCCGGATACAGGCGGTGCTCACGGTGCAGCGGGCGCTCCTTGTTGCCGTGGCCACCCGCGCTGTTGATGCACGACACGTCTGCCTGGGAGTACTCATCAATGCTGGTGAGCGACACCTTCGATGCCGCCGCCATGTCTTTGTCGTTCTTCTCCTGCGTCACCTTGTTCAGCCCGGCAATGAGGCCCCGTAGTGCTGTTGTCTTGCCGCTGCCGGCGGGGCCCACAACAAACACCGTGCGGTTGTTGCGCGATGCGTGGTGGATGTTGAGGGCGAAATTGACCCAGGACGATTCCGCCACAAGTCCAATGCGATCTGCGCACTTGGTGATGGCCTCCGACAGCTGGTCTTCCTCCTCCGCATCCACTCGCCTGGTAAGGTGCGTGCATGTGTGAGTGCGTGCGTGTATGTGTGCGTGTGTGCGTGTGTGCGTGTGTGTGTGTGTTTGCGTGCATGTGTATGTGTATAAGTGTGTGTGCGTGCATGTGTTTGCGTGCATGTGTATGTGCGCGTGCGCGTGTGAGCGTGTGAGTGCGTGCGAGTATGTGTGCGTGTATTGGGCCAAAACACCGAGGAAGAAAGCAGACTCATGGCCACAACCACATTATGCAACAAGAATTCATGGCGTTGTAGGACTCTCTTACCTGCGGCGAACAGATTGCAGGCCCGGGACGACACTGGTTGCAATCTCAAGCAGCGTGCGCTGGTCATCCTCGGGAAGACAGCTGTGGTACATGTCCACAAACGCCAGGGCAATCGTCAACAACTCCAAGTCCTCCGCAGAGTGCGCTGCGTTTGACTCCCGCGTGCGTGCTGTGCGTGAGTGCGCGTGCGCTTGCGCCTGACCACGAGACTCGCGGCGCGACGGCGGTTTTGGCCGCATGCCAGGCGCCTTCACGTTCGTCCCAGTCACCGTGACCTGTATGTTTATTAGATCGGTGTGTGTGTGTGTGTGTGTGTGTGTGTGTGTTCGAGTGTGTGTGTGTGTATTGGGAGGGAGACAAAGGTTGGTGGGAGTGTGCGGATGAATGGGGATGCGCCTGCCATCGGAAAAGATGACACAGAACACACATTTTCCAAAACAGCATCAGTGACACCACTTGCAAGCAAACACAAGCACACGCGCGCGAATAGAGGGTCATCTACACACACACACACCGTAGAAGAAGCGTCGCGGAACTTTGATGATTCCTGGAGAACCGTCTTGAGGGACTCCAGCCCAAAGTCCAGCCAGGGGCGGTTGCTAAACGCCTCCGCTGTAATCTGCATGTTCGTCATGGTGGTCGTGCATGATATGAAAAACGCCGCGCAGCATAAGGAGCTTCATCCTTGGCTGTTCAAGCCTCCCACAGTCATTCACGCACGCACACACACACTCACACACACACATGCTCACACACACATAAATCGTACACCCATCACACACACCCATGCACACACACACACATGCACACAAAGCCAGATCAGGCGAGCAACAAACCTGGAAGAGCTTGACAGTCTTCTCGGCGACGGACTTTGGGTTTGTGAACATGCCGCCGGAGAGGCAATGCGCATACACGATGATGTTGAACGAGGGCCGGGACACCTCAACCACGCGGAAGCACGCCCGCACCGTCTCCGGAATGGGCCGCGAGCTGGTGGTGGAGAGGGTGGCGAACATGGCAAACTCAACCACGTCGTCAGCAGATTTCAGGCTCTCCTGGGAGGTGGACGCCGTGCCCGCGCGCTGCTGCATCACGGCTGCAAAGGCAGGGTCGCTTTCCAAATGCAGGTGCAACAGGCGGATGTGCTGCACGGCCACACTCAGGCACTCGTGCGAGAGCTGTGTCAGCTCCGAGAGCAGACCCCAGGACCTGCTCAGGCACAATCCCTTGACAATGCGCTGGACAGAGGCCGCATCCGTTGCCGCCGTGCAATCGAGCTGGCGCAGTGAAAAGGAGAAAAGTTTGGGGTGGGGAGTGCTGGTGTGAGAATGCGACGCAGAGTCAAATCAAAGGACGTGCATACATGCTCTTGGGCGAGCACACACACAGACACACAGACACACAGACACACATACACACACACACAACACACACAACACACACACACACACAACACACACAACACACACACACACCAAACCCATCATAACAACAACCACGAGGTGCTGCAGCTGACCTGGAAGAGGTTGCGGCCGAGCATGTTTGAGAGCGCGCGAACAACCGTCTGCTTGCCCGTGTGTGCGGGGGCAGAGACAGCCGGCATCGGCGTCGAGTAGAGCCCGCCACCGTGCACCAGCACCTGCATGAGCATGGTGTGGTACTTGTCCATCAGACTGCCAATGTGCACGGGCTGCGGGATGCCCACGTACTCTGTGCCATAGCACAGGCTGGTGTACAGCGTGTTGACCTGCGCCGTGCTCTTCTCCGGGTTGAGGTACCAGCGCAGCTGCTTCAGCCACGCAAAGTCAGACAAGTCCCGACACCTGCAACGCAGAGAGGCACAGAGAGAGATGGTGAGAATCAGGGCGAGGCTGGTGTGAGTAGGGGGAAACAGGGGAGGATGTGTCGCGTGTGCGATTTGTGTCTGGTGTGTAGGTGTGCGCTCCGTGTGTGGATGTGTCGCGTGCGTGTCACACACTCTCGCACACTCTCCGTGTGTGGTAAATTTGTTTTGAGCACTGGTGCCGTTGGCTCGTGTGCACACACAATCATCGCTGCAGACCTGGCGTTGAGGATTTCGTCGGAGAGATCGCGCAGGTGCAGCAGCAGCGTGACGACCGTCTGGTACTTGAGCTGCGCCAGCTGCGACTTCTTGATCTTCTTCTTCACCATGCCCGCCGTCACCATCCTGGCACAAAACAACAGGCACGTGGGAAGTGCATGCGCGTGGTGAGAAGACGACATGAAGGTGGCGTGAAGCATTCAAACACAGTGCAGACAAGATAAGCATGTAGGTGGACAGACAAGTCAGTGCTGCGTACTCACTTGTTGCACCAGGTGACAATGTCGTGCTGTGCGGAGCGCAGCGCAAAGCGGTTCACGCGGACCTGACAGTGACAAAGCAGAGGTTGAGTTGCGGGTGGATGAGGAATACAACACACCAACTTGTAAACTGCCAGCCCTCATGACACACACACACACGCACACGCACACACATTCATACACATGCTCCCCACGATATCACATGACAGCATATTGTGCGCCAGGCCATGTGCCAACCTGATCGATGCCGAGGGCCATGGTTGATGTCCAATACAGCCGCGTCGCCAGGATGCTCACCTGTCGTCGCGGCCGCGCGTGAAGCGGTGAGTGGATGCAATGGTGAGCGGAAGCAGAGCGGCAGCGGCGAAGATGGCGGCACGATCACTGCAAGAGAACCTTCACGCGCTTGCAACGCAGCACACAACCTCACATCCACGCACACTTCCTCACGCACACATCTCACAACCACAATTGTCACCCCACCTGGTTGACCTCCGTCTCTGCGCTCTGCAGCGGTGAGAAGTTCTCCCCAATGGTGCGTGGCTTCTGGTAGCCGGTAGTAGCAAGGTTCGTTGGCGGGTTGCGCATGCTGCTTGACGGCGGTCGTGAGCGGTCAACAGAGCCCGGGCGCGACCCGTTGTGTCCGCCGGACGCAGACGAAGCGCGCTTGGGCGCAGTCTGGTCGAGCGGTGTCCGGATAGTGTCGTCAAGCGTGGCAACAGACTCGGGAAGACCCGTGCATGCGCCAAGGATCTTGTCGCGGAGGCTGCGCGAGATTTGGCTCAGCAGCGCTGACAACCACGTTGTCACGTCCGCAGTCACTCGCACGGCCCTGGTGGTTGGTGTGTGTGTGTGTGTGTGTGTGTGTGTGTGTGTGTGTGTGTGTGTGTGTGTGTGTGTGTGTGTGCGTGTGTGTGTGTGTGTGTGTGTGTGTGTGTTGGGGGAGTTCAGGAGGCAGCAAGTGAGATGGTGTGATGGAGATGTCAAACAAGTATTGTCCCCTAGAAGAACATGAAGGGAGCTATTGAAAGACAACGCAAACAGGCAGGCCACACCAATCACCCACCCACCCACACACAGACTCACGATGAAAGGTCAAACTCCTCGCCATGGCGAGAAATGAGCCTGGTGATGATGAGGTGTGAGACATCCTCGTCCTCGTCATCATCACTTCCCGGGCTGTCGCCACGTGCAGCTAGGCCTGCCATGCCTGGATGGCTGTTGTCGCGCTCATGCGTGCCTTCCTCCTTCACCTTTGGCAGCGAGGGCGAGTATGGGCGCTGCTGCATCAGCCGCTCGTCTGCGATTTGAAATGCACGGATGGCAGGGATCAGCGTCTTGATGGCCTCCGGCAGCACAACCTGCGTCCCTGCGCCCAGCTGCGTGCCGAGCGCGCGCAGCAGCATCATGTCCGACAGGAAGTAGAACCTGTAGTGTGATATGTTGTGGGTTGATGGGTGCGAGGGAGTGTATGTATGTGTGTGTGTGTGTGTGTGTGTGTGTGTGTGTGTACAGGTGTGCGTCAGGGTGGATGACGGGATTAAAGAGGGCGTTGCAGATGATTGAAGGGCACACGAACAAGACACGTGCAGCAGCTTTCAGCAGCAACAGCAGCAACAGCAGCAACAGCAGTAGCCGCACCGAGGGAATGCTTCGCGCTTTTTGTTCAGGAAGAGAGAAATGGATTTCCTGCAGTCCTCGAGACGATCGTAGAACGACGACAGCAGCGCCGTCTTGGCACCCTCGCCGTCACCGCCAAAGCAAAACTGCAGCAGCGCAGACGAGGAAGCAAGGGGGTGCGTTGGGTGTGGGCGCAGAGCATGAACGGGCGTCACATTGAATGGCACCGGCAGCAACAACAACAACAACAACAACAACAACAACAACAACAACAACAACAACAACAACTACAACAACAACAACTACAACAACAACAACAACTTAAACAACAACAACAACAACAACAACAACAACAACAACAACAACAACAACAACAACAACAACAACAACAACAACAACTACAACAACAACTTAAACAACAACTTAAACAACAACTTAAACAACAGCAACTTAAACAACAGCAACTTAAACAACAAGTGTACCTGGAGGATGTTGCCTGTTTCCTGCGCGGCCAGGCCAAACTTGTACAAATCACGCGCAACGCTGTGCAGCCGCTTGCTTTGCTGTGAGAGCTCGGGCACGTTTGTCATCACCTCAAGCTCTCCCCACAGCTTCTGTACCTCCAGCCACTTTGTAAGGAAGACGCTAATCTCCCTGAGCTTGGCCAGCCAGGCAACGAGGTCGGTGCGGTGCGGGCCCAGCGAAGGCGAGCTGAGCATCGTGTGCAGCTGCATGTGCGACTCCTGCGCGCTCGTAATGAGATTCTGGGTCGCGTCCACGTCCAGCAGCAGCACCTGCATCAGGGAAACAAACAAACCACACACACACACATGCACACGCGCATACGATACGAGATGAGACGTGACAAAGAACGTGTGCCACAGCGCGCGTGTGATTTGCACGCTGACGAGCAACACAGACTGCGACAGACAGAACACACGCCATCAACACACAAGCAAAAAACAAACAAACAAAACACACACACAGGGCAACACACCGATTTCTGCTCTGCCGGCGCCTCCATTGGAAACACGTGGTCGCTCCACTCTGTCTGGATCTTGTTCAGGCTCTTCTCAAGCTCGGCCTCGCCTACACCATGGGAGGGTGAGATGATTGGCGTGAGGGTGAAAGCAAAGGCGCGTGCGTATAAATGTGTGTGTGTGTGATGTTATGCGACTGGGTTTGTTGCATCGGCACATAACCCAAGCGCAGTGTGGCCGCTCAAACCATGATTCTCTCGTGCACACACACACACACACGTGCTGACCTGTTGCACTGCGGGCGAGCTCTTGGATCTTGTTTGCATACTTGAGGAGACGGAGCGAGAGCACCTTGCGGATAGTCAACCCCTCCAGTGGGAACGTAATGCCTGAATGGTGCAGTGCATCAAAACCAAGTCGAAAAGAAGTGAGATGACAACGACGGCAGCTGAAACACACAATCACCCATCACGAAACCCACCCCAAGAACAACACACACACACACATGCACACACAAAAACACACACACACATGCACACGCACACACACACACATGCACACACATGCACACGCACACACACACACCTGTCATGTGCATAACTTCGCGCCAATGGCGGTCCCGGATGGACGGCAGGGCGAGCAAGTGCAACAGCGGGAGCACTTCGAGCTGTGCCGACACCGTGTGCTGCATCTCCTTGTATGCCTGCCACTTCTTCAACGAAGGGGAGAGGCCCTGCAGTGCGGTTGAGAACCCGCGCAGCTCCGTCTCCGTCGCCTGCAAGTCGGCCTCTGTCCAGTACGTCTCGAGGAACACCTGCTGGTGCGCAACAAAGCGCTCGTACAGCCCATACAGTGAGTCCAGCCGTTGCAAGTCCTTGCGCGTGCGGTCGAGTTCAGGGTACGGCGTTGGTGGGAAGCCAAGCAGTGCCTCCACCGCTGCAAGCGTCTTGCGCTCGTCCTCGAGCTGCTGGTGGAGAGACGTGAGCCGGCGGAGACGCATGAGGGCCTCCTGCGGCGTGATGCCCTCGATGGTCGGCCCGCTGTTGTCAAAGCTGTTGCGCAGGTGGATGGTTGCCACCATCAGCGCCTTGGCCTGCGTGTCCAGCAGTCGCTCAAACTCCGGCCGCCGCGTTGTCGTGAGGTCGTGCGTGACGCGGCGTGCCGTATCCGTGATGTCCAGACACTGCTCCTTGAGTTCACGCAGGGCCTGCACCTCGTGGCGCGGGAGGGTGAGCCCAATCTCGTGCAGCACTTCAAACACGCGCTCCAGCGCGGATGCATCCAGGTCCTGGCTGTGCTGGTCGACAGACCCGAGCACCTCAATCATCACGCGCAGGTCGTCCAGGCTCTCAATCTCGCTGTCCATCTGTTCGCGCAGGCCCTTGACCACGGATGCGATGCGCTCCAATTCAAACGACGCGGCGCGGTGCAGGGCTGCTGCGTGCTCCGCCTTCCATGCCGTCGCCTCCGCCAGAAGGGCCAGCTTGAGGTTGCGCGTGCCCAGGCAGAACGGGCCACCAACACAGATGTACGCCTCAATCTCGTGGATGGCCTGCTCAATGTCGATCAGTTGGTGCAGGTCCGACTGCAGCTGCTCAAACGCCTCGCGCGCCTCGGCGTCCTTGTGCAGCTGTACGAGACTGCTGCGCTTGATGATGAGCGTGGCGCGTCGTGACGACTTGCGTTCCCACTCCCACGTGTGGCTGTCCAGTGCATGCACCCGCTCCCCAGCAACCGCCACCAGTTTCTGGATGAGCGCATCCACAGCCGCCCTCGCCTCCACCACGTCCTCCATCCTCGCCAGCGCGCGCGCTTGCAAGTGGAGCTTGATCGGGGCGCGCTGGCCAGAGAGCGTCTGCTTCGACCGCGTGGCGTGCGTGCTGTCGTGGTGGTTGTGGCTGCGGTGCGCTGCTCCGCTCTTTGCGCGTCGCACATCGGGCGAGCGGCCTGCTGGCGCATGCGGGCGACGCACGGCGTTGAGGTTGTTGGCGGAGTCAATCAGCGCCGCGCACAGCGCCTGGCATGCAGACTGCAGGTCCTTCGTCAGCTCGCCCAGCTTGTCGCTCAGCTGCGAGCTTGACGGCAGCTGTCGTCACACAAGGGAAGCAGAAGGGAAGCACGCGGTGGTTCATGTTTGGGGATGGCAGTGATGAGATGGTTTGCCGGTGACGTGAGACAAGGCGGGAGGGGGTTTGGACAGATGGCAAGGTTTTGTGTGTGTGTGTGTGTGTGTGTGTGTGTGTGTCTGTCTGTCTGTCTGTCTGTGTGTGTGTGTGTGTGCGTTGATATGGCGAGCATACCTGGACAAGGTGGGGTGATGCCCGCTCCACCTGCAAGAGAATACAGCTTGAGGGCTTCTCCGTATCTGCAGGTGACATGCGTGTCATGGGTGTGTGATGTCACGAAAACGATGCATCAGGTACAAGGCAGAAGAAACTCAGCAAGAACAACCATCACTTGATGCAAAGCGCGAACACCTTGGCACCACGCACACGCACACGCACACGCACACACACACACACACACACACACGCACACGCACACTCACACACACGCACACACACGCACACCCGCTCACACACACACAAATAAACACGCACACCCACTCGCACGCACACACATGCATAACATCAATCGAACCGTCAGCAGGGAGGTTGCGTTTGGTGGAGAGGAGTGTGCTGATCTGGCGAATTGCCTTGACCAAGCACGCCTGCAGCGCATCCTCAACCATCTCCACAAACTGTTTGATCAGGTCAACCTGGCAGCAACACATCCATCCAACACAGCAAGATGCGGGTCACGCGCGGAAGTTAGGGGACGCACGTGCGTGTCCAAACAAACCCCACAGTCGCAAACACGCAAAGGCAAAGGCAAAGGCAAAGAAAATGAATACAAACGAACAGCTGCAACACACACACACACACACACACACACACACACACACACACACACACACACACA